AAAGTTTTATATATGCGTACCTCTTTGCAAACAACCTCCAAAATTATCTCTCCATGCTTCAATGTTGCCACCTCGGTATATTAAATATATAAGGACACTATATTCGTGTATATACATGGAAACCACCCTAAACTAATTTTGGGTGCATCGAAGGTCTACCCCCAACGATTCATTTTTATTTTAACATTTTTAATCAATAATATTTTCATAATAAATAAATGTGTGTATGTTTTTCATAGGCCTTCGTATGCTTGACAAGTTTAATGTTGATATGAGCCGAGTAACTATATTTCTTTTATACAAGCGAAATGGCCTTCAGCTTTTGTATCACATTTATATAGGGCATTTCTCTGAGTTCTGGAAAATTTTATTTTATTTAAATATGTTGTAAGAACGTCAATTATGTCTGAAATTTTACAACATTAACCACACAAAAATATCATAAATGGACCCCAAATCTCACCACCTAAAGCTATTGGTCTAGCAAGTAATACACTAGTATCAAAAATATTTTCAGAGGCGAGCAATATTTTTTATTTTAAGAGGCAGGCAAGCCGTCCGCCTCTAACCAAAGGTCACTGTAAATGAGCATTTACAGAGGCAGTGGTCGGCATGCCCGCCTGTGAAAATCGGTTTTTAGGGGTGAACACCTTAAGATGCATGCCTCCGAAAATGGATTAACGGTTTCTAGAAAACTCAAAAGACAAAAAAAAAATCTTAGAACTCAAACCCACGGCCTACAACTCAGCAATAACAACTCCTTACCACTAGACATAATCACTTGTGAGCATATACATAATTCTATCTTTTTTTACAAATATTTCGTAATCTTGTATTAAAAATTATAGATACTAAATAAACCCAGATGAAAAAGTTCAGCTATAAAGTTTGAAATCTTGCCAAGCAATACAACTTTTGTATAGGAAGTGTCTCCATCCAAGATTCTTTGAAAAATTCAAAATTTTGAATTTTAAAATACGTGAATATAATACAAATATTTGAGACAATAAAAAACATCAAATCAAAAATTTATCAACAACAAACATGTAGATTAGGTTGGCCACTACATCTTTGGTGCTAACTATATGAACAATATTCAAGGCCATTTAGAAATTCTAAATTTTGAATTTTGAAAACTATGAACTTAATAAAACACATATTTGGGACTATAAATAACTTCAAACCAAAAACTTTTCAACTACAAAGTTCTGGATTGTATTAAGAACTACAACTTTGCTATGGACTATGTCAACATCCGACGCTATTTAAAAATTTCAATTTTCAAAATTCATGAACATAAAACAATAGTTTGGGACCCTAAACAATTTCAAACAAAAAACTTTTCAAATCAACACTGAAATGGCAGTTTCTAGCAGCAATGCCTTAGGTAAGATGATTTTGAAGAAGCAGGCGATGTCACGAAGTGGAACAACAAGCTGATGACCAAGAAGCAACTGAACGTGATCATGCACGTGCAGTTGCATTGATGGGCAGCAGATAGAGGCAGATCACAAAGAAGCCCATGAAGCGATAGGAGATGCAGCCCAAGGCTCAGTATTGCAGCCCAAGAGAGTCCCACAACCAAACCCTCAATATCTAGCTATGCTCCAACTAGTTGCTGAAAAAAGTCCATCCCAAACTGAACCAAGAAAGGTCATTGCCGTCTTCCTTTTTATTTCGTAGGTGGGAGCTGTTTTTAGCCTAAATGTTTTAGAGTAGGTGGGGCCACTGCTATCTACGGTTTGTTTGACTCAATGTCTCATAGAACTTGAAAGGTTGTAACAACCAGCATTTCACTTCACTTAGGAGACGCGACAACCTCCATGCGTCGATGCATGCATGGTATTTAACAGCTTGATGGATCCCTGGTGGAGTAGCAAGCGAGAGATATATGCAGTAATAATGAGTTCATGACGATCCTCACAAAATGTCATAATTTGGGCATGCAGTCACCAGCTGCTTAGCCATCGATCAATCAATCATGCACCAACTATTTTTGGCATATCTGCTCAAGCAGAACATATGCTTTAAGTTAAGACAAGACCAGAAATATATAGTAGGCACACTATATGTGTGCATGCTTGGTACACATAGGCATATCACAAAGAAGCACATGAAGTGATAGAAGAAGCCATGCACAATGCTCAGCATTGCAGCCTAATTAAGAGAGTCCTCTCGACTCCAACTACTTTGGCAAAATAAGTCCAGCCTAGGAAATGTCATGCCGTCTTCCTACTTCCTAGGTAGGCATCATAGAGTTGGTGATGAAATTGCTGGTTGGATGCGAGCCTCGGCTGGAGGAACTCCTGTAATCTTGTGTTGTGAATTTTGTAAGAATCTGTTCATTATTGTTTTTCACCTAATCGTTTTACTGTCAGTAGGGCCCTTGCTATCGGTACAGTTTGTTTGCCTCCAATGTCTCATAGAATTTGAGTGAGATGTAACAACATGCATTTCACTTCACTTGGAAGAGCTGTAACGACCTCCATGAGTCGAAGCATGGATGGTATTTAACTGATGCATGATATATTGCTTGTGGAGTAGCAAGGGAGAGATGTATATATGCAATGAGTTGATGACGATTCACCTCAAAAATAAAAACTGTGATGATTTCTGCATGCAGTCATCTGCTGCTGAGGCATCGATCAATCATGCATCAATATTTCTGGCATTGCCGCTCCTGCAGAACATATGCTTCAATTTAATTAGATATGGCCTGAAATATATAGTACACAGAATCCATGGTACAAAGTAGGCTGGCCTTGCTGGACCTTTGAACATATTGTATGTGAAATCGTCAACCGTGAGTTATGCAACCATCATTAAAAAACAGTGTTTAGAAATGAACCATGTTTTTCTCCGTGTTTGAAAATCAATTTAGCATTTGGAGTTAACTAGGGGAAAGGATGTGTTGGCAGAGGTCCACAAGCAGCAGCAGGCGAGGAGGAAGAGGATGCCAGGCCACCGCTATGCTCACCTGCCATTGTTCCTGCTCTCTGCCATACCAATGGGGATGAGGAGGAGTGGTGAATGCTGAGGCAGGTAATGTAATTACTTGATTCATTTGTTATAAACGACGTATAGGAATATGAAGTAAAGAATCAAGCCACAGAGGAGACACACGATTTAACGTGGAAAACCCCTCCGATGTGAAGGGGAAAAACCACGGGCACCAGCCAGCAACAATCTCACTATCTCAAGAGTTTTGGGTTACACGCCTATGGCGGCTTACAAGAGAATCAAGTCTCCACGAAATCCTAGCAAGGGTGTATATACCGTGCACTGCATCTGCTGGGCTACGCCCGCCCAAGCCTCCGGCGACGGGCCTCCAGTCCGCCTCCGCCGAAGCCCGGCCTATATCCTGGAGTGAATTTGGAACAACTCCAACAAACTCCACCTTGAGACAAATTCATCTTGTATCATAAATCAACCATTCATCCTAAACATAACAAAGATAGAAAACCACTGGTGCCACCAATAGTCTCTTGGACTATCCAATTAAACCAACTAAGCTTGAGCACAGCTCAAACTTAGCAACAGGAACAAGCTTTGTCATCATATCAGTAGGATTATCATGAGTACTAATCTTGCATACCTTCAGCTTACCTTCTTCAATCACATCACGCACAAAATGATACTTGATATCTATGTGCTTAGTTCTCTCATGGAACATCTAATCTTTAGTGAGGTAAATTGCACTTTGGTACACAAGGCAAACTTATGCAAGATTTAACTCCACAAAGCTCAACAGACAAACCTTTCAAACCAAATTAATTCTTTTGCACGCTTCACAAATAGCCATATATTCTCGCTTGAGTAGTAGACAAAGCAACAACCGATCAGAAGTAGCCCTCCAACTCACAAAGACTGGCGCCAACAAGTAAACATATAACCTGTAAGTGATCTTTCTTTGTCCGGATCAAGAAAGATAATCAGAATCCACATAGCCAATAAGACCCTTATCAGTTCTTCCAAACTTTAAGCGAGGAATCATTGTGCCTCCGAGGTACCGAAAATCCATTGAAGCGCCTTCCAATGTTCTTTGCCAGGATTAGACATATATCTACTAACAAGACTCATAGCATATGACAACTGACGAGAGCAAACCATGGCATACATCAAAGACCCAACAAACACTAGAATAAGGAACTCTTGACATGTATTCAATCTGCATCTGCATTTAGGACACCGAGCGGTGACAACTTAAAGTGAGGTGCAATAGGGGTACTAATAAAGCCTTAGCATTTTTGTATGTTGAAACGTGAAGAACTTTCTTGATATAATTTTGTTGACTAAGAAATAGCAAACCAGATTTTCTATCTCTACTAATTTCCATACCAAGAATTTTCTTAGCACTACCAAGATCTTTCATATCAAAACCACTACTCAATAGCTTCTTTAACTTAATGATTTCAATCTTACTCTTGGCGACAATCAAAGATATCATCAACATATAACAAACAAATATATAGGTGATCCATTAACATGCTTGATGTAAACACAGCCTATCATACTTAGATCTTTTAAAAGCTGTGTGCTAACATAAATGAATCAAACCTCTTGTTCCAATTGACGAGGGACCTGTTTCAAACCATACAAGGATCTCTTCAACTTACACACATATTTTTCCTTGCTGTGCACTATGAACCCTTACGGTTGGTCCATGTATATGTCCTCCTCAAGCTCTCAATGCAAAACGCAGTCTTCACATCTAACCGCTCAAGCTCAAGATCATGTGAAGCAACAATACTAAGGAAAGTACGAATTGAACTGTGTTTTACCACTGGAGAGAACACATCATTGTAGTCAACACCTGGAATTTGACTGTAGCCTTTAGCAACTAACCTTGCCTTATACTTTGGAGGCTCGCTTGGAGATAAACCCTCCTTTCTCTTGAAGATCCATTTGCAGCTGATGGTCTTCTTATTCTTAGGCAACGGTACAATCTCCCATGTACTGTTCTTCTCAAGAGACTGCATCTCCTCATGCATAGCAGAAATCTAATTCTCAGTATCACCACAACGAATAGCTTCTTTATAGGTTGCTGGCTCATGAACATTCTCCACCTGTTCAGCACAACTCAAAGCATAGTAAGACAAATTACACTCTTCAATAAGACGCTTAGGAGGTGCAATTGTCCTTTTTGACTTGCGTTGAGCAATAGGTAAATCCTCCTCTAACTGCAAAATAGGAGGAGTTTGCTGAACATCATCATGAGCATCATCCTCAGCAACATCATTATCATGGTCACCATGCTCAACAACAGGCTCCACCTGCACACATGTATCATCATCAACATGCTCCACCTGCATGCGCATACGCTGCAGCTCTTTTTCTGGAACATGATCTAAGGGCAAACTGTCAGTAAACATCACAGATTCATTGAAAACAACACTTCTGCTTATAAAAGTCTTTCCTATTTCAGGATTCCACAATTTATAGCCTTTGACTCCCGAACTATAACCAAGGAAAAGACACTTAACAGCTCTAGGCTCTAATTTTCCATTATCAACATGAGCATAAGCAGTGCATCCAAAAACTTTCAACTGTGAATAATCAGCAGGCGTACCAGACCATACCTCAATGGGAGTTCTTTTATTTAGTGGAATAGAAGGCGACCTGTTTATCAAGTAACAGGCAGTATTAGCAGCTTCAGCCCAAAAATGCTTGCTCATCCTGGCATTAGACAGCATGCAACGGGCCTTGGACATGATTGTTCTGTTCATGCGTTCGGCCACACCATTCTGTTGTGGAGTATGGGGTATGGTGTGATGCCTAACAATGCCTTCCGATCTGCAATAATCATTAAATTCACGCGAATAAAATTCTCCACCATTATCAGTACGAAGCAATTTTACCTTCCTTTCAGTTTGCCTTTCTATCATTACTTTCCAGTCCTTAAAAGCAGCAAAAGTATCATCTTTCTGTTTCAGAAAATAAAGCCAAACCCTTCTAGAGTAATCATCAATAATTGTAAGCATGTAACGAGCACCACCAAGTGAGGACTTATGGAAAGGGCCCCATAAATCAGCATGAACATAATCAAGAGTACCTTTAGTGGTGTGAACAGAAGTGTTGAAATGTACCCTTTTATGCTTCCCGAAAATACAATGCTCACAAAACTTTATTTTACTCGAAGTGCAGCCATCCAGCAGGTTTCTCTTCATCAATTCTGCCATACCATGGTGACTCATATGTCCCAAACGCATATGCCAAAGGTTAGTTTTACTAGGTTCATCATTAGTAACAGCAGCAACAGCGGAATCAGAACCAGGTAAAGTACACCCTCTAAGGACATATAACTTTGCAGAATTAAGATCACCTTTCAAGCAAACAAGAGAACCTTTTGATACCTTCAGAACGCCATCTGAACCGGAATATTTGTAACCTTCTGCATCAAGCGTGCTCAATGAGATAAGATTTCTGGACATTCCTGGTATATACCTGATGTTTTCAGCGTTCGTGTCATGCCATCATCGATCTTGATACGAACCGATCCAATCCCCACAATGTCACACGGGTTATCATCTCCCATCCGCACAACATCCCTTTACGCACGCATGGGCTTATCTGAGCTAAACCAATTTCGTTAGTGCAAATATGAAATGAACATGCGGAATCGAAAATCCATTCATCATGACCAGCAACACAACCCAGCAAATACTACCGGACAATCTCGAGAATCATCATCGACGCAAAGAAGAAAGACAGAGACCTTACAATCGACTTGTTTTTTCTCTTCTCCTTATTCAGACTTTTCGCAATCCTCAACATTATGATTTGTCACTTGCAATAAACACAGAACTTTTTATTACCATGCGGCTTGGACTTTGAACGGCCTCTCCTTTCAGTAGTTCTTTCTTCCATCATTGTCATCATTGGAGGATCTGCATTTTCGATTCGCCTCTCACATGCAAAGCATCGCCCTTGGAGGAGGACGACGTCCCGTCATTCTGCACCATGCCTCTCATCTTCTCCCTAGACTGGAGAGCCTCATAAACTTCCTTTAGGGTTAGTTCATCACGGCTCAAAAGTATGGTGTCAATTAAAATTTACATACGAATTTGGCAAAGAACATAGCAGTAAAAGACCTAAGTCCTCATCATCATACTTCACCTCCATCGACACTAGGTCGGCGACGATCTTCTTGAATTCAGCGATGTGGCTCATCACTGAATCCTCCTCCATCTTCAGGGTGAACAGCTTCATCTTCATCTGCATCTTACTGGTTAGATCCTTGGACATACAGATCGATTCCAGTTTCAGCCATAGTTCTGCAGCAGTTTTTTCTTTTAGACACTCCTACAAAATATCATTATGAAGATGCAACTGAATTAGGGCGAGCGCCTTCTGATCCTTGTGGATCTCTTCTGGAGTCCACTCGGCCTTCCTCTTTTCGAAACTATCCAGCGCCTCATCATAGTCATGAGTCTGCGCCAGAATCCCCCGCATCTTGACTTGCCATAGCGAGAACCGCGTGTCGTAGTTCAGCAGCGGAAGATCGAACTTCATCGACGTCGTCATGAACCCTAACAGCAACCAAAGCTCTGGTACCACTTGTTATAAACGACGTATAGGAATATGAAGTAAAGAATCAAGCCACAGAGGAGACACACGATTTAACGTGGAAAACCCCTCCGATGTGAAGGGGAAAAACCACGGGCACCAGCCAGCAACAATCTCACTATCTCAAGAGTTTTGGGTTACACGCCTATGGCGGCTTACAAGAGAATCAAGTCTCCACGAAACCCTAGCAAGGGTGTATATACCAGACAGACTACGGGGCTTCGCCCCGCACCCCGAGCCTATACCGTGACAAGATGCAGGTGGGGGCTACGCTCCGGCCCAAGCCTCCGGCGACGGGCCTCCGCTTCGCTCCGTCAGAAGCCCGGCCTATATCCTGGAGTGAATTTGGAACAACTCCAACATCATTCACATTAACTACTGATTGGGGACCATAAAGTATGATCAGATCACCAATTTACTCTTTATTTAAATAAAAAAATAAAAATAATATGGGTATTGGTTGCACTCTTTTGTTATTGACCCTACCTATTTAGTACTTTATTATACTTTTATTGAATTCTCGTATTTTCCACCAGTTGTTCTGTTATGATGGATGAGCTATACTTTTTCAACCACTATAAAACTTGTATAAAAACATAAAATTTCTTCTTTAGAATCGCTAAACAATAGCAGCTAGACCTGGATGACTCAGAGCTAATAGGTAGCTGTTGAAAACTAGCTGAAATCCTCTATTTGTGTCCATGGTAGTTGTTATATAGTTTTATTTTATGTATCTAACTTAGCATTGATGACAGACAACTGAAAATCCATCGCTGCTGGCATGATTTGTTTGTCTCTAATATCTCGCATATAACCGATAACATGTATGCGCTGCCAAACATATACTACACTAAGATATGGAAGAGAAATGAGATGATATATGATATTTAAGTGCTTTAATTCGAAGAAATGTGATGCGCGTGAGTTGTACTGAAATCTATGATGTTTTGCAGCATTAAAAAAACGGTCACACCACAAGAGGTGAGAGATAGTACATCATACATGTAGCTTCGGCGTCCACGCTCCACACATGATGCATCCTACGGTCTTGTTTCACGTATGAAGCACATGCACGATGAGTTCTTGGTGGTGCTTTGTCCAAGTGTCAGAAGCTAAGGGTTTATGATTTCACGACGGATTTGAATGATGTATATATATTACTAGAAGGATACCCGGCGCGTTGCCACGGGATGTTCTTATTAGTTTGATTTATATATTCTTGCATCAATTCTAGTCAAAGTAAGATAAGGTAACAAATGAATCTAATAAAAAAAGAATAGCATATTATAAGATGATGGAACGTTAAAACAAATATTATATTATGGCCACGTTCGGCTTACCCAATATTCAGCTTGTTTTTTTAGTCAGAACAGTATTTTTCTCTCACAGCAATTCAGCCAGAACAGTGTTTTTCAGCCAGTTTCAGCCAAGATTCAGACCAGCGAACGGGGCCTATATGCCTTGTATTTTTTATTGGAAAAAATATAGTAATTGCACTTAGTTTGGATTGTCTGTATAGCTTGTATGAAGAGATTAAAAATTAGTAGGAGGGTCATTACGCAACATGCACACACGTTGGAGAAGAACTAACGTCTCATTACCTATCAATAATATTGAGTGACCCGCAGGCCGCAGTCAATGTTCTAAATGTTTTGTAGAAAAAACATAGAATAATCAATAAACACTAAAGGTTTGAAGAAATATAGGTGCTGCCATCTAAACTGAATTAAGATAAAAAAAAGGATTAGTTAAGAAAATCCATAAATTTGTAAATTGTAAAGACATAGAAAATGGAAAAATACAAGATCAATCAAAAATCTGTGAATGTTTGAAAAAAATCAGTAGTGCATATTAACAAAAAAAATCTGGGGAGTGGCTTCTTCAGTTCTTCTACTACACTAAAATGATCGATTCGGTGACAACACATTGACTCGAGAAGAGCTCTCTCAAAACCTGCAACACAGGAGTGGAATAAACAACTACAGTCAGTTAATCAATCTGAATGGAAATCCCACCATGAAGACCATCAATGATTAATCCATAACTTCCAAATACGAACAAAAAAAATGGTGGAACCATATAAAAAAATGCTTAGAGCACAATATAAAGTTGAACCTATTTTTTTAAGAAAAATAAAATAGCAATTCTCCAACAACACATTATCAATCAGTTACCTTAAGTCACTACATAGGTGCCGATAAAAGGAATAGTTTAATACATACAAATAATACATACGGTGCAAAACCGAGAGAGAGGAACTTTGTAGTTCAAACTTTTTTAATTTGAGATTGTTTGGATGTCCAAATATTTTCATTGAAATCATCTATCTAACCAAAATTACGTTTGATTTCTAAAATTTAAAATTTAAATTTTTCAAACGACATCGGATAGAGAAACGCCCAAAACAAAAGTTGTAGATCTCGAAAAGTTATGCAATTTTGTAGTTAACAACTTTTTCATTTAAAATTATTTACTACTTTTTCGTTTGAAATTAAAATTTGAAATTATTGAAGAACTCTGATTTCTCTTTTTAATCTCTGGCTAAAATTTGTAACTAGTCTTTTTCCCTTATGCTAACTTCAAATTTGATGATTTTTTTCCTAAAAAATTCTAAAATCATGCTCTATCAATTTATTGTGTTCTTACAGCTATTATTTTATCCATCTTTTCATGTGACTATGTTTTATCTATTTGAATTTTGAATTTAAAAGAATGGCAACTCCAAACGTCATTTTAGAACACTAAATGATTTCAGCTGAAAAGTCATGAACATAGAAGTTGTAGAACTTATCAAGATCTATAAATTTTATTTTGGTCATTTCTTCATCCGATAAAGTGGTAGTAATATTGTTCACAAATATTACATATCCCTAGGATATGTAATATTTGTGAATAATGTTACTACCACTATGTCGGAAAGTTATGAAAATCTGTAGTGGACAACTTTTTGATTTGAAATCATCTTGTCAAGGAAAACTACGTTTGAATTTCTAAAATTTGAAATTCAAATTTTGTAAACGACCTCGGATGGAGAAACTACCAAAATGAAAGTTGTAGATCCCAAAAAGTTATGAAACTTTGTAGTTGACAACTTTTTTATTTGAATTCATCTTTTCAAGAAAAACTACGTTTGAATTTTCAAAATTTTGAAATTTGAATTTTTTAAATGACCTCAGATGAACAAACAGCAAAAACAAAAGTTTTAGATCTCAAAAAGTTATGAAACTTTGTAGTTGAAAACATTTTGATTTGAATTAATCTTGTCATGGAAAACTACGTTTGAATTTCTCAAATTTGAAATTCAAATTTTATAAACGACCTCGTATGGAGAAACTACCAAAATGAAAGTTATAGATCTCGAAAAGTTATAAAACTCTGTAGTTGGCAACTTTTTTATTTGAATTCGTTTAGGGCTCCAAATACTTATTTTAAAATCAGATAAACATAAAATAACTAGGACGAAAATTTCATTTGGACATAAACAGCTTGCAGGTGGAGTGGTTAAGGTCTGAAGATGCGAAGCAAGAGGTCAGGGGTTTGAGCGTCGGTGGCCATGAAGCGCACGTTTTCCCAGAATTAATTTTTTTTATTTTTTCAGCCTATTTTTTGGATTTCATGAAAATCACATCATTGTCGGTTCATAAGAACCGATAGTGATATTAATCCCACATCACTACTGGTATGTCACTGCCGGTTCAAAATCCGACAGTGAAGATGGTTTTTGAACCGGCAATGATGTCAAGATCTGGGATAGTAAGAGGAACCCAGCAAAAACACCTTCTAACACCAGCATGCAACCCATCTCGAAGGAGGAGGCATATCTTCTTCCGTGGTTGGCTAGCCTAATCCAGGTCTTGGTCACCAGCTTTGCCTTTGTTTTTCTTTCTGTTCTCCTGTTCTTATCCCCAAGCTTTGTGGAACGAGCGGAGCACACCAGAAAATGGGAGGAGTCGATATCCTGCTACATATAGGAGAGTTGGAGACATTCAGCAAGAGGGAGTTGAGTGTAGCCTCGTCTTTTCATTTGCTTGAATGAGCACGCGAAGAGATGCCCTGAATAATGTCATGCTGCTTGTGCCTTGGTGGAGTGTGATTTCCATGGCAGTGGAGGAGTCGAGAAGACATGCTCTCGGAGGTTTCACGTTTGAAAGGACAGGAATTGATGGGGAAGGAAATTGGATGGTCTAGTAGTACATTCATGAATCCAACTTGAATGCATGATGGAACCTGTTCGTTTCGTTTCAGTCGGAGGGCTGGTATGACCGTATTAGTGGACGACCCCAGACCAAGAAAAGGAAAATCAGATCACTAAAAAATCTTAATGACATGAAGAAAGAATTGGACAGTTTAGACTACATGATGACGTGGAACGCTGTGGTGTGAGATAAAGCTTCTGGTGAGGTTTTGCTTTATTAGAGATATAGATTCTTCGTTTTGTGTGAGGTTATTGTGGCCTATTTATTTAACACCACTCATTCTTTCTTGTTGGATGATATAATTTTTTCAACCATGGTAAAACTTATTTATTTAACACCGCTCATTCTCTCCTGATGGATGGTATAATTTTTTTTCAACTATTGTAAAACTTGTACCAAAACAAATACTTTCATCCTTAGGTTTGTAAACGCTAGTGACTCTAGATGACATAGATATAATAGTTAGCTGCTAAAAATTACCTGAAATCCTATTTCTATCCTCGGCCGATGGTTTGGCTAGGGCATGTCATGTCTATCACCTATCTAAGAATTAGTTGTTAGATAGTTCCCTTTAGCTAACACCGCCAATAGTTAGCTAACGGAATCCAAACAGAGCACTACTGTTTGCCAAATGAGAACCTATCGCTGCTAGCACGATTTGTTTGTCTCCAATATCTCATATAACCGATAATCTGTATGAGCTACCAAGCGTACTGCCCTGAAATAGAGATGGAAGAGAACTGAGATAGA